ATCCTGTGCCTGTCCCACCACTGTCCCTGGAAGCGGATAACATGCCTGGTTCAGAGGTTCACCGCTGTAGACTTTTGCCTTAGGACGAATCAAACCCAGAGTCTCACACATACACGATTTAAATGCTACATTAGGGCTCTCCAGAAAACCAAAACCAGCAGTGTGTACATATGTGTATATATACATACGCACATATATACACATTTATGTATACACACACATAATATTTATTTCTCTCTCTATATATAGAAATAAAGAGAGAGAATTAGCCCATACAATTATGGAGGCTGATAAACCCCAAGATGTAGAGTCAGTTAGCTGGAGACCCAGGAGAGCAGAGGGTGTAGTTCTAGCCCAAGGCAGGCAGGCTCGAGATCCAGGAAGGTCTGATGTTTCTCTAAGAGTGTGGAGACAAGAGAAAACTGATGTCCCTACTCAAAGGCAGTCAGGCAGGAGAAGTACCTGTTACTTAGCCTTTTTGTTCTATTCAGGCCTTCAGCTCATTGGATGAGACCCATCCACATCAGGGAGGTCAATCTATCTGCTTTGCTCCAATGTAAATGTCATCCAGAAATACCCTCATACACATACCCAGAGTAATGTCTTACCATGTATCTGGGCACCTCATAGCCCAGTCAAGTTCACACATAAAATTAACCATCATAGATGAGACTTCGGTCTTAAAAGTTGATGCTAGAATGGGTTAGGACTTTGGAGGATGTTAGAATGGAGTGAGTGTATTTTATAGGTGAAGGACATGAATTTGGGGGGGGGGGGCGAGAGGGTAGTGTGTTATGGGTTGGACTGTGTCCCCTAAAATTCATATATTGAAATCCTGATCCCCAGTACCTCAGAAGGTGGCCTTTAATGAAGATAGGGTCTTTACAGAGGTAATCAACTTAAAAAGAGGTTACCAGGGCAGGCTCTAATCTGACACGACTGGTGTCCTTATAACACGGGGAAATTTGGACAGAGACATGCCTAGAGGAAACAGAGTGGGAAGAGACCTAAGGGGAAGTCAGACATCTACAAACCAAGAAGAGAGGTCCGGAATTGTTCCTTTCTCAGGGAAAGCAAACAAACAAAACCCTGCTAACACCTTGATTTTGGACTTCTCGCCTCCAGAATTATGAGACAGTAAGTTTCTGCTGTTTAAGTCACTTAGCCCGTAATACTTCATTATAGCAGCCCTAGTACACTAATACGTAGGCTCTAATCTCTGTATGTCAATTAGTATTGTTGGCAACACATTTTCTTCGATAATGATCATTAATGGTTATAGTGTTTCCTAGATGCTGTTCATTACAGCAGTTCTTAGATATACACTCTCTCAGTGAATATTCAAAACTAACACTTTGAGTAAATTTTATGGGATGAGAATTATGTGTCAATAAAATACACAAAAAATCTTTCTGAGGTTGATACAATCATGATTCCAATTTCAGTACTGAATCTAAGACAAATACAGGGGCGGACACAGAAATTGAAGCCAGATGTCTGAGTACAGACCTATGCTCCCAGCTACCTACAAAGTGCCCCCCCACCCACCTTGCTGCTTCTCATTTCCAATGTGACAGATGCATGAGAAATTACAATATGCTGAGATAAAGCCTTCACAGCATGAAAGCTCATCTACACTATTCACAACTATGTGTTACTGTAGCCCCAATTATACACTAGATCCCATAAAACCCACAAAATGAGACAACTGTTAATGAGCTGACAATCTTTAAACACAAATTTAAAAGAGCAGGTACTATGCGCATTTAAAAGTCTAAATCCGAACTGTAGTGAGGGTCTTTTAAATAATTTGTCAAACTGAATCTGAAATTTATATAGAAAAGCAAAGGAACTAGAAGAGCCAAAACAATTTTCAAAAAGAAAAAAGAGGACTCAGATTACCTAATTTCATGACCTTAAATTATCACAAAGCTGTAGTTATCAAGTGTAAAGTGGCAGAGTAAAAGGACAGAGGCATACATCAACAGAATGGAGAGTCCAGAAACAGACCCAGCTATATAGGGTCCATTAATTTTTGACAAATTCGCAAAGCAAATCAGTAGAGAAAGGATAATGTTTTTAATAAATGGTACTGGATCAACAGCATATCCATATACCTCACACCTATATAAAAGTTAATATGGATCTTAGCTTAAATGTAAAACCTAAAATTATAACACTTGTAGAAGAAACAAACCATGGGAATAAATCTTTATGGCCTTGGCTTTGGCAAAGACTTCTTAGATATGGCACCAAAAGCATAATGCATTAAAAAAAATAAAATGGATTTATCAAAACTTCAAACTTCTGCTTTTTCAAGACCATTACAAAAATGGAAAAGCAAGCCACACACTGTAAGAATATATTTACAAAACATCTCACAAAGGACTTGTATCCAGAACATATAAAAAGCATTTAAAAATTAGTAAGAAAGAAAAGAACTCGATTTAGAAAATAAGAAACTATCTAAGGAAGACATATGAATGGTAAATAAGCACACTGGAAAATACTGAACGTCATTAATCATTCAGTATGCCTACCCTGTGATTAGATTAGGGAGAAAAAACACCACCACCAAATGCTGGAGAAGATGTGCCGCGACTGCGACTCTCATCCGCTGCCGGTGTGAAAGCAAACTGATAGGGCCACTTTGCAAATCAGTGTGCAAGTTTCTTAAAAAGTTAAACATACATTTACTATCTCTACGTATTTACCCAAGAGAAATAAAAACTTACATTCATACAGAAACAGGCAGGTGAATGTTCATTATAGCATTATTCATAATCACAAACACACAAAACAACAACCCTGGAAACTCAAACAGGACTATTACTCAGTTATAAAGGTAAACTACGAATGTAAATACCACCACAAAGTAATCACAAATGCATTATGCCTAGTGAAAAAGACTACATACACATCATTCCACTTAGATGATATTCTGGGAGGAAAAAATCCACAATTATAGAGACAGAAGACAGATCAGTGGTTGCCAGGGCTGGCAGTAAGGGAAGGACCATGAGGGAATTTGGATGGGGGATGATGTTACTATTCTACGTCTCAACTACTATAGTAGTGACTATTTGTCAAAGCACCCTGAAAAAAGTAAATTTTATCATACATAAGTTATATCTCCATAAAACAACCCTAAAATAAAACAGCCTCGCTTAACAATACGTTTTAAGATTTTTAAATATGAGAACACAGAAATCCTCAAAGACGAGCATATCCTGGTTGTCTCAGACAGGCTCTCAGGTGTGTTCAACTAAAAAATTGTTTTTAAGTCTGTCACAACTTCTGCACTGTAGGAGTCAGAAGGCCTGGTTTCTGACCCCGATTCTGCCTCGCAGGTGATGCATATAGTCACAGAATACTGATTGTACTTTATTTTTCTGTTCCTAAGTTCCTTACCTTTAAAATGGGATAAAGCATTCCTAACCTCAAGGCAGCTGCAGCCATCAAGTGATGATGTATCACTAAATTTAGTCAAGGCTAAGACTGCAAGTTCAGCCTTCACAATAAAACTCAGTAATCACAAGTGGCAACAGGGAAGAGGAAAGTGAATTATCTGGAACAAAATTAAGAAAGTGAAATAAACAATAGGAATCACAAGTTCATAAAAATCTAGGATGCTTGCTAACGGGAATATAGTGGGTCTTTTGTAAATGGTCACTTTCTCTGGAGAAAGGCACGAAGGTATCATTTTCTAAAAAAGAGTATTATTATTGCACATTATCTTTGCATATTAATAAATTATTGTGTTAAAAAAATTAAAATACTTACCAAGCATTTGCTATGTGTCAGCACTAAGTGCTTTGCATATTATTAACTAACTCAATATTCTCAAGAGCCAAAAGATGGCACCAAATGTGTTTTGGGGAGTAATATCCTAACATTCATTCATATGCTTGATGGAAAAGCTTCAGAAAGTCCCAATATAGTAAAAGAAAAGCACTGGAATCAGTATGCTGAATTTGAAAGCATTCCTGAGGAATCCCTGGCATGAACACTTGCCTTCCAAATCGAAAATATGTGCCCTGATCCTTATTCAAGAAGCTATCATTTTGGTTTAATAAAGAACGTAAGGAACTAAAGTCTACTTACTTTGCTATTAGAGAACAAGCATTGGCTATTTAAGACAATGTTCTCAGATCCAAATCACAGGCACGACCCAGAGAGCAGAAGCTGAACCGTGAAGTGCCTTGACCATGTCTGTGTCCGTGTGTGTGTCTGTGCGTGCCCAAAGAGCCACAGTACTAAATATACACTTCAACCAAAATAAGATGGCGTTTGTCCTCCAGCTTTATTCCTACCCAGAAGCCAAGGATTCTGAAGTATCTTCTAGAACACATTCCAGAATACCCAGTGTCTTGAGGTTCCATACCCAAACGTCTCAAAGACCTTGCAACCCGTATATGTGTCACTAGGTGAAGAAATGGGCAAGGAGGGCTGTTGGGTGGGCAGGTGGACTGTCCACACACGACCACGCAAGTCCCCAAAGGAGTGGAATGCAGTTAGTCCTCCCATGGGTCCACTTTTTGGAAAGAAATTCAGAAGAATCTGAGAAGTGACTCCATGAGGGTAAGCCAGAGACAACCTACCAAGGCAGACCAATGCCAGCAATCAGAAGGCGCAAAGACCAACACAAACGGACAGACAGATGTATACGGGAACTTAAGTGGGATAGAAGAGCAAAGTGAAAACTGCTGAGGCCATCCAAGCAGTTCCCGAAAAGGTGTCTCCAGCGCCCAGCGGCCATTCCGGCACACACCGGGGCGCAGGTGTGTGGGCAGACCGGAGGCAGGGTATCCTGGAGACGGGTTCTGACGTCGGTTGCGAGGCCAGGGAGATGACAGGGGAGCAACGGCAGGAAGCTGGCGCAGTACGGGGGCCCGGCCATCAGCTGATTCCGGAGAGCCAGTCCAGGGCCCGAGTGGAAAGGGTGGGGCCGCGGCCGACGTCATTGCCGCGGCCGACGTCACGGCCGCTTGCCGCATCTGCAAGATCGCTCTGGTGCAGCTCGGGCGCAGGTGTCTGCGGGAGCCACCTAGTCCTCTGCAGCTTCTCCTCCACCATGGCCGACTCGGAGAACCAGGCACCGGCGGAGCCGAGCCAGGCGGCGGCAGCCGAGGCAGCGGAGGAGGTAATGGCAGAAGGCGGTGCGCAGGGGGGAGGCTGTGACCGCGCGGCCGGCGAGTCTGACTGCGCCGCGGGTCAGACCGCCGAGGAGCCCCAGAGCCCTGCGGAGAACGCACCGAAGCCTAAAAATGACTTTATCGACAGCCTGCCTAACTCGGTGAAATGCCGAGTCCTGGCCCTCAAAAAGCTGCAGAAGCGATGCGATAAGATAGAGGCCAAATTTGATAAGGAATTTCAGGCTCTGGAAAAAAAGTATAACGAAATCTATAAGCCCTTACTCGCCAAGATCCAAGAGCTCACTGGAGAGATGGAGGGATGTGCATGGACCTTGGAGGGCGAGGAAGAGGAGGACGATGATGATGAGTACGAGGATGAGGAGGAGGGAGAGGAGGAGGAGGAAGAGGAGGCTGCGGCGGAGGCTGCCGCGGAGGCTGCGGCTGCCAAAGACGGGGGTCCCCGCTCTGCGGTGTCTGATGGCGCCAAGGAATAAGCGGGGGCGGAGATGGAAGAGCAGAATGACGATGAAGAAAATCCTGGTGTTTTGCTTTGTTTTTTTAAATATTGGTGAACTTAAAAAGGCTCAGGTTTTGGACCAAAATACAGTATGAATCAATTCTGACATTCCTAAAAATATATTAAATTGAAACAATCGGATCCTGACCAGCCCGTTTCAAATTTGATTTTCATTTTGAACCCAATAAATATATGAAAAGGTGTTGAAAAAAACGAGTTAAATTAAAAATGATTTTTTTTTCATGATCTCTTCTGTGAGGACCGGAACAGAGGACTTATTAAGGGTGTCAAGTAGATGTGAAGTAAAGAACCACTTTGAAACCCATTCATCACACTATGATCGCACTACACACGCAACACCCAATTCAAGACTGAACGTGTTCTCAATGCTTAATTCTTCGATTTCTTTAGTCCTGAAATTTTCCCTGCAGAAGAAGCAGAACCCAAGGGGAAAAAAAACTCATCTGTAAGACTTGGCACTTCTGAGAAGGGTGATGGAGTCGAGGAAGCCTGTGATGGAGATCATGGCTGTACTGTGAATGAGGTCTGCAACCTGCCACTTCAAAGTTCAAAGAATATCCTGAATATTTTAAATTAGAGAAACAATGTGGTTCTGAGGAGGGTTTCTAACGTGTATAATATTGTCAACATATGTGTTCATTATTTACAGTCTCATGTTTATGTGTTTTCTTGACAGTGTCTATTTACAAAAGTGTAAAAAAAATCCAAATGTTTCAGTATTAAGTCCCTCAACCTAGCATTTTAGAAATATTAATTTACTTGAAGAGATGTAGAATGTAGCAAATTCTATAAAGCATGTGTATACAGTGTTATATAGTTTGATCCTTGTGAAGTCTTTTTGTCACATAGCTTTTAGAATGTAGCTGTGAAAATTATCAGAACTCTTCAATGAAGCTAATGTTTGGGGGAAAAAATATATACTTGAAGAACTAATCTAAATGTGTGTCCCCATCCCCAGTTCAGAAGTAGAAAGGGTTTAAGTTTGCTTGTATTAGCTGTGCCTTCATTATTTTGCTATGTAAATGTGACATATTAAATATAAAATGGTGCAAAATCAAATTTTACTGCTTGAAGACAGATTGGCATACAGTTAAGGATTTTTCGGAAGGACACATTTAATGTAAAGACTCTTAGCTTCTTTGTGGGTTTTGAATTATGTGTGACTAAGTGATATATAAAAAAACATAAGCATAAAGTTGTTTACCACTGTGGTGTTAATAAAACAGTATTTTCAAAAAACAAAGGACTCAGTACTCTGCCTGGAATGAAATCCCAGCTCTGCCTGTTATTAGCAATGAATCTCCGGCCATTCAATTAATCTGTGTTCAGTTTCTCCTCATTCACAAAAGGGGATAGTGAAACTGTCCTTCCTCACAGAGTATGGACAACAGTGAGTTAATACACATAAAACCCATAGAACAGTGTCTGCAAGTGATCAAGAAAAGTCAGCTATTATTATATGAAAGATAGAGACACTGATTAGAAATTCAATACTTGTTCCCTCCCCAGTTACAAAAAAGAAGAAATGGACATTATTATATTCTTAAGTTTATGATTCCTTATTGTTAGAAAAGAATGTAGTCTTTAATTCAGAAACACAGGAAATTCAATAAATTGCCTTGGTTTTGGTTTCCTCAATACAAAACCTAAGGTTTTGATTTCCTCCCAGAAAGGATAAAAGACTTTAATGTAACATGAATACATTAAAAAGGTTATTTCAACTTTACATTTGGGCATTCTGAATGAAGTAAAAATAATTAAAATAGAAGCCTTCCAGAAAACTTTAAAACTCAGATGCATTTTCTTCTTCCTGTAAGTGTTAATATTACACAGAAGCGAAATTAGACTGCTTTACCTTCGGGAACGGGAAGCAGCTCTGACCTGTTGCTAATGGCACTAGTTGAGTAAACCCTTAAGGTAATATTACTCTTCCTTACGGCCAGGTCAACCAAAAGAGAGAAAATACACATATAACATGAGAAGTTAATGATTATCTTAATCACAGGATTATCTTGTTAAAAACATCTAATAAAATTCAATATTCATTTTTTATACATAAGAATAAGAAACTGTCATTTAATATTTTTCTAGGTCCAGCAAAAAAGCAAAAATAAATGAAACAAATAAGGGATATGATGATTATTGGGGAAAATATTTTCACAGGCATGTGATTAGATATAGAAAACCCAAGAGAATCAATGGAAAACTATTATATTTAGTAAGTCTGAGGCATTGATCAGTTACCAGATAAATATATGAAAATCAATAACTATGTCTAGGCACTAATCTCAATATAGATGGAAAAGGTTCTTCTTTGCAGTAGAATAAGAAATCAAAATATTTATAAAATCCTCTAATAAAATATATGTATAACCCATATGAAAAGAAAAACTATCATGAAAAATATAAACTTGGCCTCAGGATGGTAAAATTAAATATCACAAAAGTGTCCAATCTTCCCAAATTAACTTTTAATTTATCACACTTCAAATGAAAGCCCAAACTAGATCTGTAAATTAATATAATTACCCTAATGTTTACCTGTAAGAATAGCTAAAAAAAAAAAAAAAAAAAAGGCAATTTGGATACAACTCACATTTTTACCTTAGAGTACACTCTCAAAAAACTGTTTTTAATTCAAGAAAATACATTAGTATTTATCAATTACTGGACAGGGGAAGGCTAAGATTAGAATGATACAAGGCCAAAAGAAATAACAGACTTGACAACACAACAATTAATAAATTATAAAGATTTAAAAACAATGCATTTCCAAAGCAAACAAGGATCTGGGAATAAAATCAATAATAAATATGGCTGGCAGAGGGATAATAGTCTTAATATAACACAGAGTTCATACAGATCATATGAAAATCCTTTAGTCCAATGGAGAACACATAAAGGACATCAGCAGACTACCTTAGAAAGAGGAAACACTTCGGGGCAAAAAAACGCCCCGAAAGGGCAGCACTAGCTGGGGCAGGGCTCCAGCGAGGTCTGGGGCACCGGGACTGCACCCTCTAGGCAGCGATCTTTGTTTCCCTGATAAGACTTCCGCTATAGGGTTTTCTAAATACCAGTCATTATTAATACTGTTGGCCACTTTTCCCAGGGTTCAGGCATGTTTATAATTCCCTTTACAATGTCAAGCAATTTCCACCATTTCCGAACTGGTTGATCTTTACCCTCTGTTTCCTGCAGTGCTTATCTGATCGTTCCTCAGGCAGCCATAAAACTTGCATGATAACATCTAGCAGGATACCCTCCTTTAAAGGCAGGTCAAAAATGATGGTTTATCAACCATTTTAAATCTATTATCGGCCCAAATTAGTAAGCAACGCACAAAATAACTAGCAGAAAGAAAGGCAACATGCATTACACATTCGGCTCAGGCTCTAAGAGGATTCTGCAGAAAGCTGTATCATGCTGACGCTTGCCGCCCACGCAGGGCGCAGCGGCGCCCGCTGCTCAGAGCTACCCTCGGTGCTCACGCAGACGCACTGCTCGTGCACAAACACACACACACTTCTTTTCTTACCGAGGCGAAATTCACAAGACATAATTAACCATTTTAAATGAACAATTCAGTGGCATTCGTACATTCACAACGTTGTACAGACATCACTTCTGATTTACTTTTTTTAAAACTAAAACATTTCAGAGGTAAACATCAATAGAGTGGATCAGTGCTGTGTAAAGTATGTGAAGTAACCTCTATATAGAAGTAATATAACATTTTACAAATAAGATCAAATTTGTTAATAAAATTAGTTTTTAAAGAAAATGCTCAGTGTTTGTAAGGATTAGGTGAAATGGGTACTCACATATATTGATGATAATGTATAAGCTGGTATATTCATTAGAAAAGTCAACTTAGCAAAAGTATCAACAGATTCAAAATGATATATTCTAATTCAATGTCATCCTTGGGACCTCATCATTAAAAAGTAATTTTAAAGGCAAACAATGCTTTATACACAAAAGATGCTTGATACAGTCTTACTAAAAACGAAGGAGAAGGGAAAAGAAAGGGAAAACAGGAAATAAAAAAAGAACATAGAAACAAGCCAAATACCTAAAAATGAAAAACTAGAAAATGCACATTCACATGGGAGTTTGGACAGCCACTGAGGGTGCCCAAGCAGGCTTTGTATTACCTAGACTTAAGTCTAAAAACTCAGGCACACAATTGTATATGTATATAGTGTGTTTTTTAATAGTTTATTTTTACTGTATTTTCTCTTTACCATTTACCCTCCTTAGTTTTAACTATGCCATCTTTGTCTGTAAAAAATTGCATAGTCTGCCTAAAAGAAAAACAATAAATTCTTCATAGTTATTTTTCTCTGAGGGAGTGGTGGGAGGGGGGACATGCTGGGACCCTGGGCTTGGCCTCGGAGAGGCAGTGCGCTGACACTTGCGGAGCACAGCTCTCACTCACTCAAACTGGGTGGCTTTAAACTCTGTCTCTGGTTTTGAATCTTGGACTTCTGGCTGTGTGACCTTGAACAAGTGACCTATGCTTCTCTATACCTCAGTTTTCTTCATCCGTAAAGTAGGGAGGAATACTAATACGTGTGATATACTTAAAATAGTGCTTGATGCATATAAGCACTCAAGAAATGTTACAGGCATTTTAATTTCTGCTATTCCTGTAACAGTCCAGTACAAATACAATACAGATATTAAAGATTATACCTCTTACAGACTATCTCAAGAGATCAAATGAAGGCTGTAATCGGTCCAAACTTCAACAGGTATCAAGGAGCTAGAAATGTTTATCATATATGAGTTTCATACTGAGGTTTAAGTCTTCTTTGGAGCGCTTACTTTAAGCCTCGCATTTCTTACTGTGTGGACTTTTTAATATTCTCCTCCAACCCCGTCTTTTTTTAATATGGGGGACATGGGGAAAGACATAGACTACATTTAATTTGATTATATTAAGTTGGGGTCAGTTTTGGGGAATTGAAAATATGTGGGTTTTTCATTAATGGTAGTAACACCATGATGCAGAGTGTGCACAGACTCACTTGCTCACACTCACCCCAAGCACCAGAGAAGGGACAGCAGCTCAAAA